GAGACTTCCTCTCCTCCATCGACCTGACGGAGGCCTACCTGCACATTCCGATTTTACTGGAACACCGCAGGTTCCTGAGGTTTGCATACGCACACAGGCATTACCAGTATCGAGCTCTTCCCTTCGGTCTCTCCTCAGCCCCCCGGGTCTTTACAAAGATCCTGGCCGTACTGGCGGCTCATCTAAGGATGAGGCCAGTGCGAGTGCAGTGTTACCTGGACGACATACTCGTGCAGTCCAGGTCTCTCCACTCAGCCAAGTCAGATCTGGAAATCACACTCTGGACTCTTCAGGAACACGGTTTTTCCGTAAATTTCAAAAAGAGTCACACGACACCCACAAAACGACTTATCCATCTAGGAGCGCTGATAGACTCAGATCTTTGCGAAGTTTATCTCTCCCCGGAGCGTCAGGTCAGCATACGGACGCTGGCACGCCAAGTCCGAAGGAAACAGTGGGTGCCCCTGGTGCGTCTTTCACAACTCCTGGGGAAGATGGTCTCTTGTCTGGGCATTGTCCCATGGGCCAGGCTTCATTCCAGGAGTCTCCAGTGGTTCCTCCTTCCCTATCAGAGACGCAATATCAGTGCCTCCAAAACAAAGGTCGGTTCCACACCAAACACGGGTCTCCCTACTTTGGTGGACTTCATCCGCCATTTCCAAAGGTACTTTCTTCAAGGAGCCGACCAGGGTTACCCTGACCACAGACGCCAGTCTGTTCGGCTGGGGGGGCGCATATTCACAATCACATGGCTCAGGGCCGGTGGTCCCAGTCAGAACTGGCCCACAACATCAATTGGTTAGAGCTAAGGGCCATTCACCTGGCCCTTCAGAAGTTCTCTCCCCTGGTGACGGGGAGACACGTACTGGTCCTGACGGACAACATTACGGCCAAGGCTCACATAAACAAGCAGGGAGGGACCCACTCTTGGTCCCTCATGCAGGAGGCCATGGCGTTGGGACTCTGGGCGGAATCCACCCTGAAATCCATAAGAGCGGAACACATTTCGGGGGAAGACAATTAACAGGCGGACTCCCTGAGCAGGGCCACCATAGATCATTCAGAATGGAAGCTAGGTCCAACCTTGTTCCGGGAGGCAGCCCTCAGGTTCGGACAACCATTCCTAGACCTCTTTGCCTTCCCGGCGAACGCACATATCCCCAGGTTTTTTTCCAGGTTCCGATCGGAGGGGGCGGAAGGGATAGATGCCCTTCGGAGCACTTGGCCCAGGGGCGTGCTCTATGCCTTCCCTCCTCTCCCACTGCTCCCAGCGACTATTCGCAAGCTCCTGCAAGAGCGAGCGGAGCTAATCTTAATTGCTCCATTCTGGCCACGTCGGCCGTGGTTTGCAGATCTGGTGGATCTATCGCTCTCTCCACCGTGGAGAATCCCTCCGGACCAAATAGCTCTCAGTCAAGGGAATCTCCAACATCCGGACCCTCAGTGGCTCCAACTAGCCGCTTGGCACTTGAGCGGGAGGGTCTAACTAGATTAGCATATTCCTCTGTCATCTGTCATCCAGGCTTCTAGACGCCCTTCAACCAACAGGATTTACGATGCCACTTGGAGAAATTTCTGCTCCTGGTGCAAGACACGGGATCTCTCCCCGCTATCGGTTACTATTCCACACATATTGGAATATTTACTGGAAGGACTTAATAGGGGTTTGTCGGTTAGTACAATATGTAGACAGGTAGCGGCATTGTCGACGGTTCTCACTTGTGAGAACCATGACTCCCTATCTCACCATCCAGCAGTCGATGCCTTCCTAAAGGGCGCTGCAAACACAGTTCCTCCTACGACTCATCGTTACCCGTCCTGGGGTTTGCCTTTGGTATTGCAGGCGTTAACTTCTTCTCCCTTTGAACCTTTAGGTTCATGTTCTCTACACTTCCTCACCCTGAAAGTTGCCTTTTTGGTGGCCATTACATCGGCCAGGAGGATTTCAGAGCTAGCCGCTCTATCTGTCAGGAAGGATCTCTGTTTGTTCCACGAGGACAGGGTGGTCCTCCGGTTGGATCCGACATTTATTCCCAAGGTTAACACAGGTTTTCATCGCTCTCAAGAACTGGTACTCCCGAACTTCTGTCCCAACCCTTCCCATCGTCTGGAGAGAGGGTGGCACACCTTGGACGTGCGCAGGGCTCTGCGTCACTACCTCAAACGTACCTCGGTCTTCCGCAAATCGGAGGCCCTATTCGTCTCTTTCCATCCTTCTACTATGGGGAGGAAGGTTTCTTCTTCCACCATCGGACGATGGATAAGGGCCTGTATCACAATGGCGTATGCTTCATAGTCGCTTCCAGTTCCTTCTCAAGTCACTGCTCATTCTACGCGTAGTGCTGCGGTTTCTGCAGCCTGGTCCACCCAAGCCTCGCTTGAAGAGGTTTGCAGGGCAGCGACTTGGTCGTCCCCCTCTTCCTTCATTAAACATTACAAAATTGACCGCTTTGCTGCTGCAGATGCAGCCTTTGGGAGGCGGGTACTGCAGCAAGTAGTCGTCCCTCCTGTCGAGCATGCCTAGACTTCCCTCCCTTCAGGGACATGAGCGGCTTTGGTATGTCCCATTCTGTGGACTCTACACCACCCTCTGCTGGAGAAAGCGGCGTTCTTACCTGAACGCCTTTTCTCAGCAGGGTGGTGTAGAGTCCACATCCCCCCCCTGTTATCTTTTGTCTAGGCATGAGTTTTTTTTGTACCTTTCTTTCCTCTCACCTTTTGTTTGGAGCCTTGCGTCTGCATTCTTCGCCTCGACATGTTCCAAAAACTGGGGAGACACACCCAGAGAGAGGCGTGGCAACCTTTTTTTCGTCTTAGTCTGCTAAGCAGGAAAGCTAAATTAACCCATTCTGTGGACTCTACACCACCCTGCTGAGAAAAGGTGTTCAGGTAAGAACAATGCCGCTTTCTGCTTGACTATACTCAGTATTCTGCAACATGAGACTGTTTTAGCATAGCCTTAGTGTGTAAAGGGAGTTGTTTTTTTAATGTATGGACTGTTTTGAAGTATAATGCTGTATAATCCAAGCTTAAATTCTGCTCTCTTCAGGTTTTCATTGCATAATTACCAGATTGATTCTGCTCATGCCTAGATCTTGATTTTTAAATGTCTGCCTATATATTATGACATCATTCCCAAATAAGTATTGAAAAATATAGGCTTGCATTACAGACTACAATTTGCAATTTTCTGACCACAATATCAAATTTACTCAATTGGAGATGGAAAAAATTGAGGTGAAGAGGAGTGGCAGTTGTCTATAATTTAGGCAAAATTGGGTTTTAAACCTATAATTATTGGTATCAAGACACTAAAATATAAACTATGTAAAATATACATTATTTTTATGTTAATAAGATAGGGATTCATTTGGGAATTCTAAGATTTGTAGTTTGATGATAAAGTTAATAATTCCTCTTTGAAATCTCTAACCCACCTTACAAATCCACAGATCTATCTGTTACCTTTTAATCAATAACTAAATATTGATTAAATCAATAACTAATATTTAGTTATTGATTAAAAGATAGTGGACAGATCTAACTGATGCAACTAAATATGTCTTCTAAGTCAGGACTTTTCAACCTTTTCACCGATTGTACTATTTTTAGGATATGGCAATATTCGAGTACCACCTAGCAAGGTGTCAAAAACTTGATGACCAAAAAAAAACAAAAAAACCCCTGTTCAAAATTGCAATTGCACTGAAATGACTTATGATCATTTTTCACACTTACAACCAATGCAGCATGCCCAGGGTCATGTGATTTATATTTGTTGCTTGGCAACTGATTCATATTTATGTTGGTCATAGTGTCCCAGGGTCATGTGATCCCCTTTTGCAACCTTTTGACAAGCAAAGTCAATGGCAGGGCTGCTGGTGGCCAAGTGCTAAGGTGGGACTTCCTTCCCTCCCTCCTTCCCTGCCTCCCTCTTTCTCATGCCCACCTCCTTCTGACGGAAGAATTTGACCCCCCCCCCCCTATTTTTCCTCTTCCATATATTCATCAAACAAGGAAAAGCCTCCAGAAACAGAAAAGACAAGCTGCTGAGTGAACTAGCTTAAAAAGACACATTCCCCTTTAAGACTTAGCTACTGGCTAGAAAGGAAAGTTAAGGAGCGGAACTGGCACTTAAGGAAGAAAAAAAATGTAAGTACAGACTGCTGGCTAAGGCAGCCTCCCCAAATGGCTCCATTCATAAGTAAAGGAATACTACAGGCAAAATCCATTTAGGAGAAAAATAGTTCAAAATCCCTTGCAGCAAAACTTACAGCTAACACTAGTAGAGCAATAGAAGCTAACAAGAGACATCAGCCATCAGCCAAATAGAAATTGCCAAACACTCCTTAAGAACATAACACCCATATTGCACAAATCCCAGAATTTCAAAGTCACAAAAGTACATAAGAATCCTTCCACTCTCCATCTCCCTCCCTCCCTCCCCTGTGCCTCACCTCCTGCCATTGCTGCCTTTTTTCATTCCTCTTGGAGGGTGACCCTTCCCCCACTGCATTTCTTGCCTGTTTGCTGCTGCCAACACAGGTGGCTGCCACAGCAGTTGTAGATTGGCTCATGGCCGGCCTGTTTGATCTCCTCCTCCTCCTTTCCCTTTGGTGCAGCTAGAGCTGACTCCACCTCCTCCCAAGGCTGCTTCTTTTTTTTCTCTCTCTACCCCCTCCAAACTGCCTCCTTTTATAGCCTCTCCTGTCTCTGCCCCCCCTCCGCCTTTCTCATGGGGGAGGGTGAGCCAGAAGTGAGCCTGGGGCCTTTGCCTTGCCCCAGCCATTCTGCAGCTCCAGAGGACTCTCTCACAGTAAGTCCTTGCCTGCGCTGGCTCTTTCCCTCCCCCACTACACTTGCTAGGCAGTGCTGCGTACCACCTGCCACTCGTTAATGTACCACAAGTGGTATGCGTGCCACCAGTTGAAAAGCCCTGTTCTAAGTTATGTTACATTATTTGAACAAGAACCTTACTCCACTTTTTCTTACTTTTTCAGATTTTTTGAATACATATATCTTTATAAAGATGCAGTGATGTATCAGATTGAACAAGAAACAAAGCTGTGTTCCAAGATTTCTTTGAGTGAGCCATGGGATCCTTATGACATTCCTGACAACTCAACCTATGAAGATCAGTACTACATCGGAGGACCAGGTGACCAAATTATGATCCAGGAATGGTCTGACAGAAAGCCAGCTAGGAAACGTAAGCATTATATTATTATTTTCTAATCCTAAATGAGATAATTTGTCCCCATATGAACAGCATCATAATTATATTGTTATCATTGTTAGGTGATTATCAGCAAATATACAAAAATATGCTAAATATGTTTTATGTTCTCATTTTATGTAAGCATTGACTAATTCAAATATAGATTTAAAAATATTTTCTAGTCTTAATTTTGAATATATCCCTAGATTTCAGTTTTAAAAACAACCTGCCAGCAGGGCACCTACAAAACATTATAACATTGTTTCTCCTAGACTTGCAAAATGTTTAGAGTTTAGTTAACCTAATTAATAGGATGGGAAATATGGCTTGCCAGATGCTGCTGCCTATTTTACAATACACGGCCAAAATAAAATTATTCTTAAAAATTCACAGTTCTCCAAATTTGTTAATATATTTAATCAATTATAAAAAGTTGTTTAGCCCATTATATATGTTTATTCAGGCATAAATGTCACAGTATTAAAGCATTAACCTGTAGATTTTGAACAGACCTGGATATTTAAAACACTCAAGTTTGTAAGGGGAGTCAGTTTGGTATAATATTTAAGACACCACGCTAGAAACTAGGAGATGGTGTCTTCTAGTCCCATTTTAGGCTTAACATTAACTGGGTAATCTTGGGATAAGAGATAAGATAACATTTATTGTCATTTTTTTACTGTGGGCACAACGGCACACATCAAAAATGAAATTTAGTTGCCCGCTCTCAAAGTGAAACACATACATGACACACACCTAAACATACTATGTACAACATATGTATAGACCCACACCCCTACATACATATAGCAAATAAATATTAAATACTGTCCATCTTGAGTATATAATGGAAGGAGGAAGCTTGAGAGTTCACAAAGTTAATGCTGTATGGAATGAAACTATGGCTGAATCTGGATGTTCTGCTATGTATACCATGAAGCCTCCTCCCAGAAGTTAACAAGGAAAACAGGTCATGAAGAGGATGTGTAGTGTCCCAGATAATCTTACGGACCCTGCTCAAGTAACGCTTCTGTGCTATGTCCTGGATCGGAGGGAGGGAGCTGCCAATGATCTTTTCGGCCATTCTCACCACTCTCTGCACTACCTTCCTGTCTGAAGCAGTGAGGCTTCCAAACCAGACTGTGATGCTATATGACAGAATGCTCTCGATTGATCCCCTGTAGAAAGTGGTCAGGACAGGGAAAGGAAGATGTGCTTTTCTCATGCGACGCAGAAAACACAGGCGCTGCTGTGTCCACTTCACCAGTTTCTCACTGTTGAGCTACCAAGCCAGCCTACTTGTTAGCTGCATACCCAGGAATTTGATGCTGGTAACCATCTCCACAGGCGAATCATTAATGCACAGAGAAGTGTGGCTGTGCCTGCCTTTTGTGAAATCGACAATGATCTCTTTTGTTTTTCTGGTATTTAAAACTAGGCTGTTTTCCTTACACCAGTTCACCAGCCCCTCAACCTCCTTGCGGTAAGCTTCCACCTTGTCATCCTGAATAAGGCCCACTACTGTTGTATCATCTGCGAACTTCACAGTATGGTTGGTGGCAAACCTAGCACAACAGTCATGGGTCAACAGGGTGAATAGCAGCGGACTTAAGATGCAGCCCTGAGGAGAATCTGTGCTCAAGAAAATAGTACTAGAGGTATTTGTTCCAACTTGCACATATTGGGGCCTGTTGGTAAGAAAATCAAGATTCCAGTTGCACAAAGGAGTGTTTAATCCTAAAAGGCCCAGTTTGTCTACTAGATGCTGGGGAATGATTGTGTTAAACGCCAAACTGAAATCGACAAACAACAAACGCACGTGAGTATTTCTTTCCTCTAAGTGCTTCAAGCTCAGATAGAGAACGGAAGAAATAGCATCCTCCATAGAGCGATTTGGTCAGTAGGCAAACTGAAGCAGGTCAAATGCTGGTGGGAGGCTAAATACAATAATGTCCTTTATCAGTTACTCAAAGTATTTCATGATGGTGGGTGTCAGTGCAACCGGACGGTAATCATTGAGGCCTATTATTGTGGACTTTTTTGGCACTGGCAAGATGATGGCCGTCTTAAAACACAATGGGACCACTGCCTGCTGCAATGAGAGATTGAAAATATCTGTGAGAACACAAGCTAGCTCCTCTGCGCATTCCCTGAGGACATGTCCAGGGATGTTATCTGGTGCTTTCTGCTGCTGCTTTCCGAATGTTAACTGTCTGCAGTATTTTCCGGACAGAGGTGACATCAAAGCTTAGTACCTGCTCATCAGGATGGGGCACAGCTTTCCTAGCAGGAGTGCTATTTGATGCCTCAAATCTACCCCCAAATGCATTCAGTTTATTTAGGAAGTCTGTGTCATCCTTGCATCTCGATGGAGCCACCTTATAATCCGTAATGGCCTGGATCCCTTGCACATTCGCCTGGTGTTTGTTGGGTCCTGAAAAAAGTTCTGAATTTTCTGGCAATGGGCTTGCTTTACACCTTTTATGGCACTTTTCAGATTTGCTCTGGCTGTTCTAAGTACCAGCATGTCACCAGATTTGAAAGCCACATTCCGTGCTTTCAGCATCTTGCAGACCTCATAATTCAGCCACGGTTTTTCATTCGCCCTCACAACAATGCTTTTCAGGACATAGACATCTTCTATGCACTTTTGGATATATGCAGACACCGTGATGGCATACTCCTTAACATTTGTATGTTGGTTATCAGTAGCTGCTTCCTTAAACATGCCCCAATCTGTGCACTCAAAGCAGTCTTGTAATGCTTCTATCGCTCCCTCTGTCCAAACCCTCACCTGCTTTACTGTAGTTTTACTCTGACTAATAAAGGTTTATATGCTGGAATAAGCAGCACTGAGAGATGGTCAGAGGAGCCCAGGTGAGGGCAGAGGATAGCTTTGAAAGCCTTCTTGATGTTGGAAAAAGCGAGATCCAGTGTATTGTCCCTTCTGGTTACAAAGTCCATATATTGATGGAAATGTGGCAGGGTAGCTTTCAAATCCACTTGGTTAAAGTCTCCCACTGCAATAAATGCACCCTCTGGGTGAGTAGTTTGTAAGTCACTGTTGGTATGACAGAGAACCTTCAGGGCCTCTTCTCTGTTTGCATCGGGGGGGGGATATACACAGCTGTGATAATGGTAACAGAGAATTCTCTAGATAGAAGGGAGGGTCTACATTTGATGGTCAGAAGCTCCACATCTGGGGAACACAGACTTGAAACCACCTTGGCATTATTACACCATCTGTCATTTATATAAAAACAGACACCCCCTTCCCGGGATTTGCCACTAAGAGTAAAACTCCTGTCCAGCCGAAATGTTGAAAATCCCATCAAGCTAACAGCACTATCTGGGACAGAGGGCTTTAACCAAGTCTCTGTTGCAATAATGACAGCAATTTCTCACCTTCCGGTTTGTTGTTAAATCCAGCCTCAAGTAATCCTTTTTTGGTTCTAAGGAGCGAGCATTTGCAAACAAAATACATGGAAGAGACACTCTGTATGGTCTAGCTTTTAGCCTAGACGTTAGGCCTCTGCGTTTGCCACGTTTCCTCTTATGGTCACACCTCCTTTTCTTCCGAAGATGATCAGCAACGAAGGGAAACTTCCCAGCTGCAATGGCTGCTCCTCCACTCTGCCCCTGTGGCCCGAGATACTGCCTTCGCTGCTCAAAACACTGAGCACGATGCTGTTTCCACCTCCAGGAACTTCCTTTCTTCCTCCCCGCTCCTCCAGACATTGCAGCTGATCTCTCACCCTCCGTGTCAGCCGCTGGCAACTCCATCCTTGATTTTCTCCTCTGTAGTAATACGAGGCCATGCAGACTCTCCTGAACATATTTCTCCACCGTTCCAGTGAATTTCTTCATCTCCAATATGGATTGATGTTCGTATGAAAGTTTAGCAGCCCAACTCAGCTTAGTTGTCCCTATTTCTGAAAAGTGTTTCAGTCCAGATCATTCATTTCCCTCCCTAACACTTTTGAGAGCTGAAGCAGCCGCAGCCAAGCAAGGTGCCACCATGCAAGTAACAAAGAAGGGCCAGTCATTCTCTTAGCCCTAGCAAGGAGGCAAAGGCAAATCACATCGAAAATTGCCAAGGAAATTGCAGGGATTTTTCCAGGCACTACAGTAATCAACACTGACTTGAATGCATTAAAAAAATGTTTAGAAGAGGGAACTATTTGGTGCTTTTTTTAATCTAATGGTGCTCTTACCAACTTCCCACTCTTGTGTTAGAATATCATTTAACTCTGAAGTCACTCACTGCAGAGTAATTGCATCAAAACCAATGAAACTAATTCCTAGAGTTAGTGGGCTTAAGAATGATTGTATTAATCCTTCATTTGTGGTCAGGAAAATTGAAATTATTTTTTAATTATATTATTGTCTTATTATAATTGACTTTGAAAACTTAAAATCATGCTTTTCTCTAGAAGCAGTAAGAATTTGTGCTTTTTTCATTACAGTCGAAAATTGGGTGGGAGTTTACACAGTCAAGGATTGTTATCCAGTTCAGGAAACCTACACCAAGAACTACAGTGTGACAACCTCCACTCGTTTTTTTGATCTCAAGCTTGGGATAAGTGACCCATCTGTTTTCATCCCTCCCAGCACTTGCCAGACAGCTCAGCCAGAAAAGATGACTTATGTATGCTGATAGTAGATCTTGGCTTCTACAGTACATATGTAAGCTCAATATGTATTATTATTAATTAGCTGCTAATGTCTAATGTGACTGTTGCACTTTGCAGAATGCAGGTTCTAACAGACTAGAAAAAGAGGATAAACTCATATCTTTTGAGGCATGTTATTCTAAATGTGTTCTCATATTCTACAACTGTAAGCAAATGATCATTCATATTTATTTGTTTTAGCTGCTAACATCCTCTGGCAGAAGCTTTTCTGTTTTTTCAAGTGATATAATATATTTCTAAAACCATATTAAAATATGAAATGTGTTAATTTTAGAGAGCTGGGAAAAGTACATGTAGTAGATAAGTCTTACCATAGGATGGCACCCAAAGGTGTTTTTTAACGAGGCAACTGGATTTTCTTGTTTTCTTTGAAGACATTTTGCTTCTCATCCAAGAAGCTTCTTCAGCTCTGTCTGGATATTAGAAATGGAAGGATTTATATTTCTTGCAGACAGCTGGTCATTTGCATTATTTTAGAGAATTGTTGAAGCCACTTGCAGGTTTGTCTGTGTCCTCAGGGTAACCTGAGTAGTGCAAATGGGTGTGGAACCTTCTTGGAACTGCTGAAAGAACTGTTGTAGACTGTAGATAGATGATAGCATATCCCCCCCCCCTCTGTTGAGAGAGGGCTGGTCAATTTTGACATAGATGGCCTCTTTGACCCCTCTTTCAAACTAGTGGCCTCTCTGTCCAAAATGTGGACTCAAAGAGAAAAAAGAAATCCAGTTGCCTCTTGAAAAAGCACCTTTGGAACAACCATGACCTGGATGACTGAGAATCCCCATAGCCATAAGATGGTACATTGTAGCAAAATAATTTTCTGAAAGCTGCTATAGTGAATGAATGATTCTCTTGTTATTTATTTATTAAATAGATTTCTATGGCAGCCTAACTCAGATATAATCTCCAGATATCATACATCATTAAACAAACAACAATATAAAAACCTCAGGAGACATGTTCCCAGTGGCGGTAACAAATGCAATCGTATAGAGCCACTGACAGGCCCTGAATCGGTCTGGGGTCCCCAGGTCTGATAGAGCAGGGCTTTTCAACCTTTTCACCCATTGTGCCACTTTTAGAATATGGCAACATCCGAGTACCACCAGTCACCTAGCAAGATGTCAAAAACTTGATGATAAAGTGATAAAGTGCAGGTAGTCCTCGACTTATAACAGTTCGCTTAGTGACTGTTCGAAGTGACAATGGCACTGAAAAAAGTGCCCCCCAAGCCACAGCCGAGCAAGACACCTGCCTGCCTGCCCGGCCGCGCTCTTCCTCCTCTCCGAGGTTTTTATTGTGAGCATTTCTGTTGAGGATTGGCAGCGGGGGTGGGGTGGGGGGTGTTTGGTTTTTATTCCCCCCGTCTGCTGGGTGGTTGCAGCAGGTTTTGGTCACTTCACATGACCCTGGGACACTGTGAC